TTACCTCAGAAGAACCCCCTGATGTAGGTACCCACTGCGGAGGTGGAACAGGAGAGTGGAGGATCTCAATGTCCATTGGTTCAGCGCCAAAGGCCTCCTTGAGGGGGTGTCATGTTAATCTTATCTTTCTCTGTATCGTTCCAATTATAACGGATGTCCCGAAAGGACATCTTTGCTTTCCTGTTTGCCAGGGTTCTCTCAATATTTGCTGGCAAATTACGTCCGCTTGCTCCACAATACGTAGCACTACCAGCTGGGGCAGTGCATCTGGCATCTCTATCAATACGTGGGAGCGGGAGGGTATAACCGCAAGGAGATATCTGATTCAAAGGATTCTACCCCAAAAGCCTGCAGTGATTTTTTTTTTTAAATGGGCTTCGGGTTTCATTTTCTGGATATAAATGATGTGACTTAGGGGCTCCTTCGACACTCCTCGGGCCGTCCTCGGGGCCCGAGGAAATTCTCCCATCGTCGCCCGAGGAAATTTGCGCTGTCGTTCCACTCATCCTCGTAATTGTTCCCCGAGGACAATTCCTCGGGGGCTTCCGCGGCCAGTTTCATATATCGACAAGCGGACACGGGGGGAGGGACGAGGTTGGTCCAGCAAGGTGTGTCTGTGCTGACATCGTTGGTCCAGCTCGGGTGGGCATTGCAAATTCGAAAGTTGGCAAGGTGTGTCCGTACCAACCGTTGCTGAGCGAAGATGTCCGTCGACGGGCCGCCAGGAGCAGCAATGGACCAGCAGCGTCGAAAATTGTCATCGAGAGAGCTGCCGTCGACGCCCCGATTCTTCCGGATGCTCGACCTTCGAGGGACCTCGGGAGGTCCCTTGGGGAATGCATCGAAATGGCTGTAGCCCGAGGAATCCCCGAGGAAATGTTTTCACATTTATTTTTTCAATTTCTTCCCCGAGGATAAGTGGAACAATGAATTTCTCGGGGAACTTATGCGCCCGAGGAGTGTCGAACGAGTCCCTTAGATACAGCCACATTTACCCTTTCACAACTGGGCATCGGTTTTCGTTTTTTTTTCCTTTTTTTTTTAATAAATCTTTGTGACACACCCAGGGCCAAGTCCCACATACACCATTGAGCCAGTTCAACCTTGAACTAGCTCAACGTGTGTGACCCCCCTGGACGTCTGAGATGCATCGGGAGCTGCACATCCAGCGGTTGTTCTTAGGTGTRTAAAATACAAAGACTTTCATTTTTGTTTTTTGGTTCAAGAAAGGTGCTGAAAAATCCCTCGGCCCGAATACAACGCCCCCTACCCTGCCCATCTTCCGTTGAACTACATACCCCACTTGGAGTGGGGTATGGGTTCAACGGTGCTTGTGCCATCATGAGCTTCTGTGGGAGGACACTCTGACAGCCATAGGAGGACACTCTGACATTCTGTGGGAGGACACTCTGCCATTCTGTGGGAGGACACTCTGACAGCCCTGGGAGGACACTGACAGAGTGTTCATGCTGTGTTTGGCTGTGCAGCCCCAAACTCGTTTTCTGCAAATGCACCAAGCCAGGAGCATTGTCTACGTTCATTTCATGTTCTAGTGAGTCCCTGTCTCTGATGTTGCGTAGTAGCCAAGTCCCACATGCACCGTTGAACTAGCTCAACGCAAAGGTGCGACACACTTTTTGCAGCTTAAAAACTCAGAACAAAGGCAGAAAAGGAGAACCAAATGCTACTGAAAGTCTGAAAGCTTTGTTTCCCCTATTTCCCAAAAACAATGACTAACCAAATGCTACTGAAATCTTTGTCCATATTTTACTATTTTCTAAGAAGTAAAATGGAAAATACAACAATCCTCAGTGAAAGGCTCGGTGCACCACGCTACGTCGGAGACTCACTAGAACATGAAATGAATGCAGACAGTACTCCTGGTTTGGTGCATTCACAGAAACGAGTTTGGGGCTGCACAGCCAAACACAGCATGAACACTCTCTGAGTGGGGTATGTAGTTCAACGGAAGATGGGCAGGCTAGGGGGCGTTGTATTCGGGCAGAGGGATTTTTCAGCACCTTTCTTGAACCAAAAAACAAAAATGAAAGTCTTTGTATTTTATACACCTAAGAACAACCGCTGGATGTGCAGCTCCCGATGCATCTCAGACGTCCAGGGGGGTCACACACGTTGAGCTAGTTCAAGGTTGAACTGGCTCAACGGTGTATGTGGGACTTGGCCCCCGGTCCACGTGCAGTTGGATGCTTCTGGCCGTTGGGACCGTCCAGATGTGCGACTGACCCGAGTAAATCTGAGCTACGAAGTATCAAAAGAACAACTACAGTTCTCCCCCGAATACAACGTACGATCATTATAGCTGAATTTGGTCTATCTTTCAGTCTAAGGGGCTCTTTCGACACTCCTTGGGGCGTCCTCGGAGCCCGAGGAAAAAATCCTTTTAGTCGAAAGGAAATTTGGGCCCTTTGTTCCACGTGTCCTCGGGGACGTCGCCCGAGGACGTTTCCTTGGAGCGATGTCAGAAACGAAAAAAGGAAAAAAAAAACAACAAATGTGCTTAAGGCCTTCAGCCAATAGGGTGCCACCACGATCCAGGTTCTCGGTTGGAAGTTGTAACGTCCCTCTACGCGTGTGCCCGCTCCTCTCCGTGAAACGCGGATTCCTTTTGCCCAAGGGACCTCATGAGGTCCCTTGGGCAAAAGGGAGAAATGGCCGGGGAATCCTCGGAGCCCGAGGAATTTCCTTCGGAGTGTTTTCACTTTTTTTTTTCCGAGGATAAGTGGAACGAACAATTCCTTGGGGACTTGACACGCGCGAGGAGTGTCGAACGAGCCCCTAAATTCATCTAAAATCACCGTACGTTGTATTCGGGGGAAGACACTAGTTTTCCCAAACAAACTGACACCGCGCCCTACCGGTAGTGTCCCCTGGCCCGTTCCGGCTGTGGTCCCACTAGTAAAAGGGATAGGATAGAAATCCTGAATCTGGCTATGTTTTATGCAGAGATACAGAAAAGCAGCTCTATCTCTATTTCCTGCTCCTGTCCTCAAACACATCCAGATTCAGGCATTCAATCCTATGCTCTTTGCTAATGGGACCACCGCCCTGCAGGTCAGGAGCATGCCCCCCATGTTCACTCGTGAACACGGTTCTGGCTGCTACAGTGTTCCCCATATGCAGCCAGAACCGTGGCTTACTTTCTAATAAAAAACAATAAAAAGAAAAAAGAAAGAAAGAAGAGATGGTAGGTGGTAGTGTTAGGTGAAAATTTAGAGCAGAATGTAGCTTACTTTTTATTTTAATAAAAAAAGGGGAAACTAGGCAAGGGTCAGAAAAACAGTAAGAAATTGATTACAAATTACAGACACGGTTTCTGCAGTTTAGTACGGGCCCGAGTTTGAAATGCAGTTCAAACTCGACGCTGCACAAGGGTCCGACGGCATGAGTTTGAGACTGCACGTCAGTCAGCCATGTAGGGGTCTGCCACTGCGCCGTGGTCCCTTCGGACAGGTGCAAATGCGGCCCCGTAGACCCATGCAATGTGCACGCATGTAGGCTAGTAGGCCGGTACCGGGCTTGTGTCCAAGCCCACGAACGGGCAGTATCAGCCCACCGATGGCACGGCGGGGATCTCCTTGCACCATCTCTCTCTCTCTCTCTCTCTCTCTCTCTCTCTCTCGTCACCGCCCACTCCTGCTCTGGCTCGGGCTGCCGTGTGTGTGTGTGTGTGTGTGTGTGTGTGAGAGAGAGAGAGAGAGAGATAGAGAGGGAGAGAGAGAGATTGGAACAATACAGAAGACTAGCATGGCAAAACGAAAAAAGTGCGCATGTATCTGACGCAGACGATGCAGCAGATACATTCACACTTTTTTATGCCCAGCATTGCCAGCAACTCACACACACACACACACACACACACACACACACACACACACACACACACACACACACACACAGAGAGAGAGAGAGAGAGAGATGGCGGGAGGAGATCCCTGGCATGCCATCGGTGGGCTGCTCCTGCCCGTTAATGGACACAAGGGCAGTACCGGCCTACCTACCGGCCTACCAACCGGCCTACCAGCCTCCATGCGTGCACATTGCATGGGTCTACGGGGCCACATTTGCACCTGTCCGAAGGCACCACGGCGCAGGGCCAGACCCCTACATCGCTGACTGATATGCAGTCTCAAACTCGGGCCGTACTAAACTGCAGAAACTGTGTCCCTAAATTGTAATGCAATTTCTAACTGTTTTTGTGACAACCGCTTAGTTTCCCCTGAAAAGAAAACAGAAAGAACGAAAAAAGGAAGTGGAAACTGAACAGAGAAAGTCACCCGGGGCGAGCTCCCACGAGCAAAGTGGATGGGATTAAGCACCGAGTGGATGGGATTAAGCACCGGAATGTGGACGTGTTCGATGAGAGGTGCATCGACAGAGGTGCAGAAAATCGGGATCGAGCTGATGTTCGTCTGCATCTGTGCTCATAACCGATCCAGATTCAGGCCGTTGATTCAATCATCTTTGTCAGTGGAATCTCGCCCCTGGTATAAAGAAATTCGGGAGCCCATGTGCAGAAGCACAGAAGACACGCTGGAGGGTGAAGGAACCCATTTTCTCCTTTTCTTGTTTTTTTTTTTTTTTAATTCGTAGCCAACGGGGGCGAATAGCACAGTCACATAACGGAGGGGGCGAGGCAGCTATGGAATCCTGGAAATCAATAAAGACAGGGGAAAAAAAACAAGGGGGGGAAATAAAGACACCGGCGACCAGCGAGGAAAGCAGCGCGCCAGCACAATGTAAAATCGAACGAACGGCAATAAATTGAATGAAATTGCATAAAACTAAGTAAATTAAACTAAAAAATGAAATCGAGCGTTAAATCAAATTAAATTAAAAAATAAAAATCGATCGAACGGCGGCGAATAGCACAGTCACATTGAAAGAAAAAACACTCGTGAGTGAAACAAGCCATGATATTAAAAAAAAAAAAAAAAAAAAAAAAAAAAAAAAAAAAAAAACAAGCCATGATGATGACCAACAAATAACATTAAATTTTGTTTGCGTTTGGAAGCAGCAAATATAGAAGAGGGACTACAGAGCGTCGCATTGTCACAGCTTAGCAAGGGGGGAGGAAGCAGAGCGACGATGACCAGAAGCTCCCCCCTTTCTCTCCCCTCCTTCCTCCCTCTCCCCCCCACCCTCCCCTCCCCTCTCCTCTCTACACCCCCAGCAGGAAAGAAACGTACTAGTGCAAATGGACTGCAGCGAGCTTGCAGACACATTGATTGACTTGTCATTCTCTCGGTATGAGCTTTGTACCTGTTGAATGCCATCCTCTGCTCTGAGCTTTGGACCTGTCGAATACCCCCATCCTGGTCTCTGATGTGTACCTGGTGAACGCAACAATGCCGTAACGGTGATTAAAGCTGCTGCATTTGGAGCAACTTTCAGTCGAGATACAGGGATCATGACAAGGGGCGTTCTATTCGGGTGAAAACGGCAACATCGCTCTTCGCTTACCTTTTCGATACTCGCAGCAGAGACCAGTTCATCGACGACTGGACCAATCACATTCCTCTAGAAAACAGAAAGAAACATAAAAGGCAGTGCATTTCGTCCTTCGTCCGCGGATGGAGAACTGCTCGCCACTTAGTCTACCAACAACGGCAAACGGCGGCAAACGGTGCGCCTGCAGCAACAATACAATACGGCAGAGAAGAAGCCAAGGCTCCTCCTAATTGACCCATTTATACAAAGTTAACTCCCCATCTCACCTCCTCATCTCACCTCCTCATCTCCCCTCCTCATCTAAACTCATCAGCAGAACCGACAAGTCACATTGACGTTGTTATTGTCATCGATCACAGTGCGAGCAGGGATCGACGGACAGAATGTGCAGCTGATTCCATCGTCTACGTTCGGAATGGACACGTAGATATTATCGGACGATGCATTTTTGGCGCTATTGCCAGAGTAGGTGTTGCCTCTACAAAACCTCACCGTTCCCTGCTCCGACCCGTCGAATCGTACGGCTCCACCGCGCTGACCGCCCACGTTGCTCGAGAATCGAGTGTCGTACAATCTGGCACCCGTTCTGGAGAACCAGATGGCGCCGCCGCCCATCCCAGAAGCCTTGTTCCCATCAAAGCTACAGCCGTTGATGTCAGTGGTGAAGCGCCTTCTGAAAGCTGCCCCTCCTCCCCTCGACGCCGCCTGATTCTTCTTAAATACACAGCTGCGGATACTCGCGAACCCGTCGTCTTCGGACCACAAGCCGCCGCCATCGCCGCCCGACCGGTTCATTTCGAACACGCATCTCGTGATACTCTCGTCCACGCCCACCAAATTCACTGCGCCGCCGTTTCCCGCCGCTCGATTATTGCGAAAGACGCACCTATCAAGCACGATCTTCTCGGAGCTGCGCGCCCTGACCGCCGCCCCTCCTCCCTGTACTGAGCGGAAGTTTCTCATCTCCAGATTCACTAGCGTGAGGTTCTTGTCGGCCTCCAAGACGATACCACCATACCTCGATCGACCATCAAGGACCGGTCGCGCGCCTCCGGGTCCACGGCCGACCAGCGTTAGCGACCGGTTAAGCGGCGGGAAAGACGCACGCAGAGCCACGTTGCCTCTCACTGCGTGGTAATTAACCCTGGGGTCCGTGTAAGCGGCAAGGAAGTCCGTTAAGCCATAGCCGTTAGTGCCCGTCATCAACGGTGCCGCCACTGTCACGACCAATAGGGTTACAAGCATGCCGCGCGTGGAGACGGAGGCAGCTCGACGAGTCACTGCCATCGTCGTGAAAAATACACACACACTCTCTCTCTCTGTCGATACTACCGAAGAAACTCCGAGCTGCCGGCGGCGGGGGTTCAGTTGTTGCTCTTGTCTAGTTCAATCGCCGACGAGTACCTCCACAAAATCCTACCGCGCTGCACACAGACGATGAAGCGAACTAACGCAATATATGGGCAAATGAGCGCGTGCGATATTGAAAACCGCACTTTTGCCTGGGCGGGCTCTGATGATGCGAATACATTACGTTACGTACATATATATGCGTTGCCGATCCCCTACTTCGAACGGCGGCGCGTGTGACGTCAGCATGCATTGTCCACGCCTGGGGCCATAGCCCGAAAAGAGTTCAAACCTTTTAATGACCCCAGGCCAGGCCTGGACAATGCATGACCCCAAGCCTGGACAATACATGACCCCAGGCCTGGACAATGCATGCTCCATTTTGCACATTCCGGGGGCTGAAGCTGGAGTACCGTACGTGGTATTCGGGCATCTCCACACGACTCACGGGAAAAGATGTTCTGAATCTCTTTTTTTTTTTCTTTTTTTTTCTTTTTTGAATCTTCAGATGGCTCGATTCTATCCTCGGCCTTCTGGCTAAAGATCAAGTGTCGTGTCTGTGCTGATCAGTTAAATATCTGATCAGGAAAAAAAAAAAAAAAAAAAAACTATGGCGGGTGTATCTTTCAATGTTTTTTGCAGCAGACACATACTCCATTTTGCACATTCCGGGGGCAAAGTCCCACTAGTGGCAGCGTTGAGTTCCCTCAATGCCTGAATCTGGACGCATTTGTCGTTATGTGCCGTTGAGGAAACAACCAGATTTCTGCACATCTCCACAAACACGCCCTCTCGAGAGTGGTGCGGTCAGGAAAGTCAACGCTGTGAGTGGGACTTGGGCCCGGGAGTGGCGCAAGTCAACGCTGTGTGTGGGACTTGGGCCCGGGAGTGGTGCAAGTCAACGCTGTGTGTGGGACTTGGGCCCGGGAGTGGTGCAAGTCAACGCTGTCTGTGGGACTTGGGCCCGGGAGTGGTGCAAGTCAACGCGGTGAGTGGGACTTGGGCCCGGTAGTGGTGCAAGTCAACGCTGTGAGTGGGACTTGGGTCCGGGCGTGGTGCAAGTCAAAGCTGTGAGTGGGACTTGGGCCCAGGAGTGGTCCGGCGAGGCCCTCCCTTTCTGGGCCGCTTTTTGCCGAACCTGAATTTCACTGCGCATGGAGTTTTGCCGAGCCTGGGGCCTGGACCCACTAGCCAAGTATCCTACCATGTGTGACAGCATTTTTGTATTTTTTAATGGTTTTTAACTTTTAAGTGGTTTAGGAGGTTCATTCGGACGAGTCAAAAATGAGTCAAACAATTCGGAGGAGTCAAAAAAAATGCTTTCAGGAGGTTCGTTTGAATGAGCTGTGTCGAGGAAGAGTCAAGATGCATGTGCAGTATTATCCTCATGTCCCTACTGCAATAAAAACCCTACTGCAGTAACTCGTGTCCCTACTGCAATAAAACCCCTACTGCAGTAAAACCCCTACTGCAATAAAACTGCCATGTCTGATGGAATGATAGTAACTGCCCGCAATTTATTTATTTTTTTGTAGTACGGCAAGGCGTGTACAGCAACGCGCGAAGTCTTGAAAATGCCCCGCCCTCAAAAAGTCTGGAAATGGAGACCAATGTTAAATTTGTCAATGTTTAATATCAATACAAAATTCCAGTAGCAGCCAGTTCATTGGTCAGTGCTTTCTCATGGGCACCACTGTATACTGCATCAGGCGGGCCCGTCGATGCAAAGTGAGATGTGTGGTTCGCGTCTGTCACCCGACCTCGAACTTTTTTGTTGGAAATATAAGCCTACGGTGGGACCCAGGGGATCGAAAACGTCAACCAGGGGCTAGGTCCCACTTGCACGAATTAAGAGATACTGACCGTAGATGGCAAAGATCAACGGCCCAAATCTCCTAATTTGCGCAAGTGGGACCTTGCCCCAGGAAGTAGAATACCTCGCTAGTGGGTCCAGGCCCCTGGGTCCCACCGTATTTCTTTTGCTAGTACTTTTTTTCTTCTTTTTTTTCCTTCTCAAATGACGGGCCCAGTGCGCAAGGCTTATATTTTCAACAAAAGTTTGAGGCCGGGGTCCTCACAGTCTACCCGGTATAAACATCTGGGAGCATTACCCAGTTTCGCTTACGGGGCGAAACCCCTTCAAGTTGGGGACCAATCCCCAGGATACACAAAACAGTGCTCGGCACCAAATAACTGCCAATATGCAGGGAATAGCTTTAGAGCCTCTACCACGAGGCATCTTGAGTAAAAAAATCTCCCAGTTGTCCGTTGCCACTCCCTCCTGCCCCCGTTCCCTCTTTCTGCTGCCCTCCTACTGCGGAGATAGAACCTAGCGACCAGGTACTTTTTGCTGGTACTCGTGGCAGTTACACCTGAAAAAGAAGAAGGGAAAAAAAAAAAAAAAGAATGAGAAGAAAAGAGAACTTCCCCGTCAGAGACATTCTGTGAGACTGTGCCCTCGGATAGGGCATCTGTCGGTGCAAAACAAATGAAGAACAAAAAGAAAAAGCTTCCCCTACACTGTGATAGAGGTCAGATACAGGACCCTAGAGTGCTGGTTTGAGTACAAAATGAGTCAGGCAGTGAGTGACCCCTCGTGGAATACGCCCTGCCTCACTGGCAGATCAGGAGAAGGAAACAGAAACGAGAAAGAACAAAAAACGAAACACCACTGCTGTGGTGCCAACCTACCGCGTGGGCCAGGTTGGGGGAAACAGCCCTGCCTCATACCCAGGCCCAGTCCAGATAAAATGAAAAGGAGCAATCCACTGATGAAGCCAGATTCTTCAGAAGAGAGTCATAGAGTTGGGGCCGCAGGCTCACACACCTCCGGGGTGGGTGGGGCGCTTCACCAGAATTGGCGAGGTGAACGACCTGTCCTCTGAGTTACTGGCTGGCTGCCTTGGTGTGACTTGCAGATTCCCATACGCGATGGGCGCAGCAGCTGGCGGGCGGGATCCCAAGGGGATCTCTCGCGAATTGACGCAGCCTGCTGCGACCGGTCCTGCACCTGTGACTTGTACAATTGCTGCACGGCCGGTCCACTGAGGGACTTCTTCCTGCCGGGTAAGGTCCGATAAGACCCAGCCTCCACCGTCGATGTAGTTGAGAAATTCAGTTCTGCCGTTTATCTTGAAAAATAAAAACAATATTGGAAAAATGTTGGTCGAGGCCGTAGATTGAGAGAATCGATGCTCGGAGAGTCTGATTGTAGAGGTCTTGTCGGAGCGGCTGCCGTTACTTGTTGTAGTCGTAAAACTATGCTGATGTTGACAATAGAGCGTTGGAACTCGGTGCAACCACAGAGATTTATACACGGCAATTGCCTGGCAGGGCAGGAGAAGGAAACAAAAACGAGAACAAAACAAAAAACGAAAGACCACTGCTGTGGTGCCAACCTACCCCGTGGGCCGGGTTGGTTGGTGTTCCCCCCTATTTGACTAGAGAGACGATGAGATAGAGTCTTCGGTAATTCTGAGGCCAAAGAGCCACGCGCCTTCACACATTGGCGGAGTACGGTGGTGAGCCCCCGTGGAATATCGGGGAGCCTGTGAAGGTATACGCCCCCTCTGTCACCTTTCCTGTTATCGGAAGGCGATGAACTGGATGCTTTGAATCCGCTGTCGATTTGGTGAGAACAGCTGAAGCGGTGTTGACTGGCGAGTACGTCAATACCCACAGAACGAAGACCAAGCGAAGGGTGGCTGGACACGAAGGGCTGGAGCGATTATCCTCCGCCCGCAGTTTTTTTTTTTTTTTTTTTTTTTTTTTTTTTTTTTTTTTTTTTTTTTTTTTTTTTT